TCGAAAATTAGTTCCTCTATTGTACTTACTGTATGCCGACTGGCATTGCTATGGTGGGATATAATATTTCTTCTCTTGCTGAATAGAAGTCGCTTTACGACTAAACATTTATGGCCATGTTTCAGGTGCTTTATATATAAATATGCATTTAGTGTTTCATTGTATTTTAAGGACACTAAGTGAATAATACCTTGAACATTTCACCAGGCTTTTCGACCAAATTTTCATGGTCATATTCCAGCTACTGGATGTATAAATGTGCATTTAGTGTTTTAAGTACTCTAAATGAATAATAACCTGAACATTTCGCCAGGCGTTTTTCTACTAAACATTTATGGCCATGTTTCAGGTGCTTTATATATAAATATGCATTTAGTGTTTCATTGTATTTTAAGGACTCTAAGTGAATAATACCCTGAACATTTCACCAGGCTTTTCGACCAAATTTTCATGGTCATGTTCCAGCTACTGGATGTATAAATGTGCATTTAGTATTCTATTGTATTTTAAGGATTCTAAATAAATAATACTTTGAACATTTCACTACGCGCGCAACATTATCATTCTTCTTTGGAATTCTGGTTTTAGGGAGCCCGTTGTCCGTTGGGAGTCCGTTGTCCATCCACTGCCTTTGCTTTGAACTTTTTGAATGTTAGTGTTCTTCGAATTTATTCTTAACTGCCACGTATTATTAATACTTGGAATGATACATTCGTCATTACGATTGGTTCCCAAAATGGAAATGACTTATGACATAATCTAATCTTTCTCGTCATCGTCTATTCGCTCACGTCTGCCAGGCAGGTTGTGCGTTACTTTTCTCTTGGTTCCTTACCTTCAATCTGCCTTGTGATTATCAAAGTTTCCAAGTCCTCTTTCCTCATTACGTGCCCCAGAAATTTAAAATCACAAAACTCAGATATGTTAGTCTGCTCCATATTTATTTATAACTGCCACGAATGATTTGTAATTAGAATGATACATTGGTCCGTATAATTGGTTACTCCAAATCTGAAATTACTTATGACAACCGTTTATATATTATTACAGTAATGATTTATTCAATAAATGTAATTGTATATTTTAGTTTGCGTAATGAATTATTGCTGCCAGAAAGTATCTTTGGTTATTAGATTCTGTTGTGGAGTGATTTCGCAGTGGAGGCTTGTATTTGTACTAAACCGGTCCTAAAATAGGTTCGACGTACAAAACGTTAGGAATTTGATATAATAGGTATTACGCAGAGTAATCTGGTTGTAGTCGCTGATACTTTCGTATTCGACTAACTGTCGTCCGACATCGACTCACTGACCGACCCCTGTTTCTGTTACTACTCCTACTTATATTAGGTGAGAGAGTCTATTAACTATAGAATAGGTGTGTTTCACCATAACAGATTCAGAACCATCTTTGAGAGAGAGAGAGAGAGAGAGAGAGAGAGAGAGAGAGAGAGAACAATGATAACCATATTCAAAACGCACGAAGGCCTAAGAACACATTGACTGAATACTAGAGATAAAAAAAAAAAAAAAAAAAAACATGCGAGTTGAGAATATTAATTCAAACAACTTGTGCAACTATAACAAGTTCCCATTTTAGAAAATAATTATACAAATATCAATCTATATTTTTCACATTGTTCGGACTATTGAACAACTTACAACGACCGAAACGTCGTGGATATGGCAATAAAGATGGGGACAATAGTCCGAAAAATGTAAATAATTATACAAATGTTTTTATAAGTAAAGAAATTTCTAGCAAATTGTCAAATATAAAGGGATTATCGCATTCAATGTTTTATAAAGTTTCATTATTGCTAACACTTGACACACATTAAGTTAATAACATTGAATTTTTACTTACTTAATTTTGCTGAAGTTTTACTTAAAAGTTCGGATTTCAAATTCAAATGGCATTCTTTTTAAAACAACAAAAAGAAAAATGAGTAAAAACAAATGTCGCAGGTTTTGACGAAAAAAATTTTTTTTTTATCAAGCTCTTGAATCCGGTTTTTTGAAAAAAAACAAAACAAAAAACGAACACATTTTTTCGTCAAAACTTGCGACATTTTATTTGTTTTTACTCATTTTTCTTTTTGTTTTTTGTTTTAAAATTTCGGATTTCAAACGCAAATGGCATTCTTTTTAAGTAAAACTTAATTCAGCAAAATTCAGTAAGTAAAAATTCAATGTTATTAACTCAATGTGTGTCAAGTGTTAGCAATAATGAAACTGTGAAACATTGAATGCTATAAGCCCTTTATATTTGACAATTTGCTAGAAATTTTTGAGTATTTGAAAATTACGGTTGTGCAAAAAGAAAAAAGTTTATATTTAATATGTATTTGATGGGAACTGTAAATTATTCTTAATTTCAATTCTTCATAAATACTGCTTGTCTTTTGAAAGGAAGATTGGTCATGGCTCTTCTGTACAAAGATTTTTCTATTCGACCTCAAATCAAACAAATCTGCCTCTGATTTTTCTTTTTTTATGTGCTGTGTCCCTTCAAATTGTAGGCGATCATGGTCCTCCACGCCATCCTCTCTCTAGTAGCTCTTATGAAGTTTTATTTTTTATTTCTCCCAAACTCTGTTCTACCATCCATTTACTCAAGCCCATCAAGTATGTTACGCGCTGCTTTCCTCTATTCCCATTTCCCTCAATCGGTCTTGTGAGTATCAGATTTTCCAAGCCCTTCTTCCTCATTACTTGACCCAGAAATTTCAACTGCCTCTTCCTGATGTTAAGTATAAGATTGCTTTTTGTTTTCATTTTCTCCAAAACCTCGTTGTTGGTCACATGTTCGGTCTATGGTATTCTCAACATCTTCTTGTAGAACCACATTTTTTGTTGATTCAAGTTTCTTTCTCATCTTTGAGGAGGTTGTCCAGCATTCGCTGCCATACAGGAGGACAGATATCACGTAACTGTTCAATATTCACACTTTATTAAACTCATCACCAACCGGGTGTGAATAAAAAGGAAAAAAATAATTGTAAAAACAAAGTATTTGAAAATTAATGTAACGCAAAAGAAAAAAAAAATTGTTCGTATAAATGACCATTTTATAGGGACTTTAATTTATTTTTTATGTTAATTTTATTATATACCCTTGTGAAAATTAATTGAAACAAAACAAATAATTCCGTTATTATTTACTTTTTGTTGTATTTTCCCAATGAAACATGACTCAGTGCACCTGTTAGTACTTTGTCTGTCCATTCCACGAAGTCGTTCCTTGCAGATTGACCACAGATTCTCGATTGGATTTAAATCAGCAGAGTTTCCAGGCCGATCTAAAGTACTTTGATTTGCTCACTGGTAAGACTTGTGAACGCGTTCGTGTAGCGTTACAATTTTCGTACGCTTCCTTGAAGTAACGTCCATCACAGATAATGGCCGTAGGACAACTAATCGACAGTCGAGACAATAGTGTCTGGGCGTGATAAAAATCTGATGCAATCACGGATGACGCAGTATTTTTTCCAGGCCCCCAAAATTTGATCATACACACCAAAAATAGATTCATATTACTGCACACCACTGCAAATAACCTAACCCGAGGAAAAATAGAAATCGATTACATCCTGTTACTCCAGTGAGTCTAAAACTGACTATATGGCGAAAGAAAGTAAACTAAAGCAATTGTTTCAATTAATTTACACAAGGGTGTAAATGCTTGTGTCTTGCACTGAACACAGTCGTATGTTAGTTTGCTCCAAATTTATTCTTAACTGTCAGTTATGATTAGTAGTTGGGCTGATACATTCGTCATTACAATTGGTTCCTAAAAATGAAAATTACTAGTAAGTCAATATTTTTTTTTATGTCAGAGCATTTAGTATTTTGTTTTATTATTTAATTTTTAACCTCAAGCCCGTTTATATAACAATCGAGCGAAATTCTTTAACCGCAAGTTAGAGAATTTATCATGTTTCTACTCTTATCTACAGTGAAGATAGCATTTTCATTTTCGATAATTTATATCAATGATTTATTTTCTTGCTCTGCCTAGTGGCTGAAATAGTTCCTTTTTTCTCAATGTTGGTGTTGAAGATCAGGCAAAAGCTAATATTTCGAATTTTGGTTTTCAAGCCAAGCAGAAAAGCAAACACTCCTACCTGCACGATTGGTACAGCACATTCTTCCTTCATATTTGACCTTTGAATAATCAATAATACCTTTTAATATCTTTTGGCTGAATAATATATACTTAGTAAATATGATGAATTATTTCCTGTCGTCTGTTAAGTGTTGAAAATTTTGTCCACGCTGCTTATACTTTTTTTAATTTTTTTTTAATTTATTTTTTTTTACGCTTCCCATTGCAAGCAAAGCGGGAGTGCCGCTAGCACTCAAGGGGTTACAAACAGTGAGAGCAAGAGTAAAGCGGGGGGGGTGAAGAAAGGATAAAGTGAAGGACGGGGATCAAGATCAAGGCATCAGAAGATGTCGATTGACATTACATTTGAATATTTGAAGATTTTTTGAAGCAAGTAAGAGAAAGGGAGTTCCACTGTCATGAAGTGCGAGATAAGAAGCTGTTGGAGTAAAAGGGACGGCTACAGTTAACCGTTTCGACAGTGAAAGGGTGGGACCGAGATGCCAACTTAGTAGCACGCTTAAATCCATGCAGTTGGGGCGCCAGTGAAAGTAGCTCGTCAGAGCAGTTGCCATGAAAATATTTGTAGAAAAGACAGAGGGAAGCCGCAGCACGTCTGTGAGAAAGTGACTGTATAATTCTTGAGAGATGGAAAGTTTAGAAAAAGATAATATTTACACTTTTCTTATTTTTTTTTTTGCGTATGAAACTAATTTCGTAAGATTTAGACAAAACAATGAAGATTGGAAGGGATAAGGGGAAATAGGCGAAGATGCAGGTAAAGATTAAGAGATGAACACAGGATTGAGATATGGAATAATCTTTCTTGACAACACTTATGGAATTCCCACTAGCCTGTTATAAGTTGGCTTAAACCGTTTCGCGTTTGCTTGATGTCCGAGGGAGTTACTAACGCCTGTGGTTAGTTATTTGAGTCGAAGCATAGTCAAAGTATCGGATGGTCTTGTCTGATTAACCTGAGCTTGAGAAATATCGATAAGACGTTGGCGTTTGTCACATACAACGCAGGAGAGCGTACATAGATTGGCTATAAAGGCTGTTCGACCTCCGCTCAGTTCAGTTAGAAAACAAAATCGATAATTCTTTTTATATTTGATAAACCTCAAAAAGGCTCTTATAAAACAAACAGTACGCTCCAACAATATCCAGGAAAATGGTTGCGTCTAAAGTGACATCTTCTGTTTACTGTTAAAAATCTCGGTAATTTAGACGTAAACAAAATTCGCCAGGCAGTAGTACTAATCGTGATTAGTGTATAGTCGGAGCTCATCGAAATGACTTGGTCAACCATTAAAACAATCTCCTGACAGGGTTCAGCTGAAATAAATGAATGAAGAAAGAAAGAGAAACGTAGAAGAAAACAAACAAACCATCAAACTTGAGACTCAAATGGAACTTGTTGAAGTGCATGAGGGAAAATCTGATTCACCGCCTATTCAGTAAGTAATTACCTTACTTTCAGAGCGGTCCCTTCTAAATTCTACTTAAACTCTAACGTCTCCACTTAAACTCTGAATTATTTACTATTTATTTATTTTTTCTACAATATGAATAGATAGGTTCACCCCCCCCCACTGTCTTTTGAACAAGAGTAGAGATTTATCCCTTATTTCCTGTTTAGGATTGGATTTCCGGTTCCTTTTAAATTCTACTCCAACTGTATACTTCTAATGTCTCTGCCTAAACTGAAATTTTTACTATTTATTTATTTCCACAATAGGAGTAGATAGGTTCGCTTGTCGTCTAGTTTTCACTTCTCCATTGTTTTTTGAACAGGAGTAGAGGTTTATTCCTTGTTTCCTGTTTAAGATCGGGTTTCCGGTTCCTTCTAAATTCTACTCCAACTGTATACTTCTAATGTCATTGCCTAAACTCTGAAATTTTTACTATTTATTTATTTCCACAATAGTAAATAGGTTTAACTATCGTCCGCTTCTCACTCCACTCGGTCTTTTGAACAGAATTAGAGGTTTCTCTTTTTTGTGTTTAGGATTGGGTTTCCGGTTCCTTCTAAATTCTACTCCAACTGTATACTTCTAATGTCATTGCCTAAACTCTGAAAACTATTTTTACTATTTATTTATTTCCTTGTCGTCACAATATTGTTTTTAAATAGGTTTATTCCTTGTTTCCTGTTTATCGTTTCAGTTCCTTCTAAATTCTACCAACTGCATACTTCTAATGGTCTTTTTGAACAGAATTAGAGTTTTCTCTTTTTGTGTTTTTGAACAGGATTGGGTTTTTCCTTGTTTCCTGTTTAAAATTCGGTTCCTTCTAAATTCAACTGTATACTTCTAATGTCATTGCCTAAACTCTGAAATTTTTACTATTTATTTATTTCCCACAATAGTAGAAGGTTCCTTGTCGTCTAGTTTCACTTCTCCATTGTTTTTTTAGGTTTACTTATCGTCCTAAATTCTCTCCAACTGTATTTTACTATTTATTTATTTCTAATGTCTCTGCCTAAACTGTCTATTTATTTGAACAGAATTAGAGGCTTGTCGTCTAGTTTTCACTTTTTGTTTTTTAGGATAGAGGTTTATTCCTTGTTTCCTGTTTTCAGGTTCTGGTTCCTTCTAAATTCTACTCAACTGTATACTTCTAATGTCTAAATTGCTATTTAAACAATAGGAGTAGAAATTTTTACTATTTATTTCCATTGTTTTTTGAACAATAGTAGGTTTTATTCCTTGTTTCCTGGTTTAACTATCGTCATACTTCTAATGTCATTGCCTAAACTCGGTTTTTTGAACAGAATTAGAGGGCTTTTCGTCTTTTTTCCATTGTTTTTGAACAGGGATTAGGTTTATTCTTTGTTTCCTGTTTAAGATCAGGTTTCCAGTTCCTTCTAAATTCTACTCCAACTGTATGCTTCTAATGTCATTGCCTAAACTCTGAAATTTTTACTATTTATTTATTTATTTAGGTTCGCTTGTCGTCTAGTTTTCAATCTCCATTGTTTTTTTTGAACAATAGGTTTATTCCTTGTTTCCGATCCAGTTCCTTCTCTCAACTGTATCTTCTAATGTCATTGCCTAAACTGTATTTTGAACAGAATTAGGAGGTTTCTCTTTTTGTTTTTAGGATTCCTTGTTTCCTGTTTAAGGTCGGTTCCTTCTAAATTCTACTCCAACTGTATACTTCTAATGTCATTGCCTAAACTCTGAAATTTTTACTATTTATTTATTTCCACAATAGTAAATAGGTTTGTCGTCTATCGTCCTTGTTTCCTGTTCAAATCAGGTTTCCCACTGGTCTTTTGAACAGAATTAGAGTTCGCTTTCGTCTGATTTTTTTTTGTTTTTTTAGGATTGGTTTCGGTTCCTTCTTTTAAATTATACTCTAATGTCATTGCCTAAACTCTGAAATGATTTCTAAACTCTAGAACTTTTTACTATTTATTTATTTATTTGAACACAATCGAGTTTTCCTGTTTAAATAGGTTCACTTCCGTCAGGTTCAAATCTAATGTCATTGCTAACCCTCTGAAATTTTTTATTTATTTTTTGAACAGAAGTAGAGATTTATTCATTGTTTTTGAACAGGAGTAGGGGTTTTTTTCCTTTTTAGGAGATGGGTTTCGGTTCCTTCTAAATGGATTGAAAAAGTGCCTAAAGAGGACATTTTTTAATTTATTTACACAATATAATAATTAAATAACTAGTAAATAAAAGGTTTCTCTTTTGTGTTTTTCATGTGTAATTATATTCTATTTTAATAAATTTATTTATTTATTTACACAATGATAAATGTTCACTTTTTACCCTCCCCAGTTTTTTTACTATATATATATTGTTTTGTTTTTTAGGACGTTTTGCGTTTATGTATCAAAAAGAGGACATTTGTCATCTTTGGCGTAAACTTTCAATGTAATTATATTTTTTAATAAATCACACACGTACTATATATATATATATATATATATATATATATATATATATATATATATATATATATATATAATTGTAAAAATATAGTTTTAAACTATGCTATTCTTATGGGTTAAAGTGCTCAATATCAGGGAGAGAGCATATGTAAATATAAAAGTAGACATTGAGATGAAAGCATAGCGGCGACAGTCTGTTTCATGCTGTTTGGGCTCAACAACTTATATATATATAGATAGATAGATAGTCGAATCAAAATACAACACACATGGCCTGAAAATTTCGTTTAAGCATGAAACAGTGAGTCGCATCTGGGTGTTGACCTCAATATCCACTTTTAGATTTATATTAGCGGGGATACCCAGCGTTGCTCGGAAGATCTCTGATTTATTATTGACAATTTACTGATATTTTTCAGCCATCTTATGGAAAATAATTTTTTATTCAATCTTTAAAAAATAAACTTCATTGCTTTTTTTGGTTTGTTACAAAATAACTGAATTTAGGAAAATACCACAGCACAAATACCACGCTCGGTGGGGGTGGCTGTGTGTTTGGTTGGTATTAGGGGCCTAGCATACCCATATTTTTATTAAAAAAGACACTTTATTTTTCGATTTAAATACTAACTTAAATACTCTGTTAATGCTGTTTTCAAACAAATCAAACTGAGATAAAAGTTCATTAACCCTTTTTCAAATTATTATTAATAAAAAAGTAAAACTTAAGATATATTTAAATATATTTAATTTACTCATTTTTTTCAAGCAAAAATTATAACGAGCCTTACTTCGAAAAATAATTATTTACTATTTATTTTGGAGGGGAATTTAGATTTTTTCAGTAAATAAAGTTTTAATTTTAAACATTAATTACTAACTATTTTGAAGGAGAGTAGAAGCAAGAGACATTGAGAATTTAGTTATATTCGTATTTGAAGAGAATAAAATTAGTTAAATAAAAATTAGCAGGGACAGACATGACTTACGGTCAACATTATTCGTGTTGAATATTTGTTTTACGAATTTATTTTATTTAAATTAATTTTTGAAAAAATAAGGCTCGCTACAGTTTTTTTCCTTTAATAAAACTTAATTGAAAATTATTTACTTTTACAAACCAAAAAACGATGAAGTTTAATTTTTAAAGATTGAATAAAAATTATTTTGCATATGACAGGAAAGTATTAATAAGTCAATAGTGTACACACGAATATTTGAATAAATAAATATTAAACTTTTTGTCAAATAATTGTATTTAATATTATTCTTCTTTTAAATTTATTTTGTTTTTCAATATTCATTTATTAAAGTTACGCTTTTATTTACTATATCAATGTATAGCGTTTAGCAGAATTAAAATGTAAAAACGAACACTAATCCTAATCTGGAATAAGAATTATAACAGTTCGTTTTTACTTTTTAATTCTGAGAATTTCGAATGGATTTTAATTTTAAAATATCTTCGTAAATACAAACCATACTGTTGTGTCGGAAACCTACCACCCCTCTTGAAGATGAACTTGTCTGCGTCTGTGAACAAAGACTTTAAATAGTGGCATGTCAGTTGACATGGGGAAGACAGATAGACCGAAAGGCTCACCCGGCGTTATGCTGGGGGTTTTGACAAATATTGGATCGTTTCTTGGCCTTTGGCTGAGATTCGATCAAGGCTTCGACTAGCTTGGACTGGCTCCGGCCTGGACTTGCTAGGACAAGTCATGACCAGCTTTGACTAAGCTCTGACCAGCTTGGACATGCTTTGACCAATTTTGACCAGTGGCCTTTGAGTGGAGACACTCGGGTCTCCCACGTTAAACGACCTTGTGTCAAATCTTGACTTTGTGGGAGTCAAGTAAATACCATACCAGACAGACAGAGAGGGTAAGACCTGAGTCTATTGAGTCGTGATACAGTCTTTGACTGTAAGCGACGTTCGTCGAACTCTGCGTTAGCAGAGGAGGAAAAAGACAAAGCTTTGCCGAAGGGCAAGGTTTCGTCCGGGGAGGTAGACAGGGCCTGAACCCGTCTAGGCGGGTTCAAAGGCTATATTTTTGGCCGAGCCTACGGGCTCGGAGATAACCACGTTAAACCGGCCTTGTGCCATATTCAATCCTTGTGGGTGGATCGATAAATACTAAGACAGATTGACCGAGAAGTTCTTAGCTGAGCTAGTTATTGACTACTCAGGCGATTTCTGTACCTCTTTACCAACCTATTAAAACCCTTTTTATTGTTACGTGTTATTTGGCGTTTGTTTACTAACCCCAAATCAACATCATAACACATACATTGATAATTTTTTTTACAAGCAGCTGGTTTGGGTGATAATGAGTCTGTATATATATTTACTTTGTCATGAATTGCTGTAAGTTTTTAGCTTTAGACGGATACACACACACATACAGACAACTGCCCTTTATATAGGTATAAAATAATTAATATATATTTATGAATATTAATACGTTTATATATATATTTATTAATATATATTATATATATTTGTTTAGTGATCAAATGATAAAAAGACAATTTACTTTATACAACAAATATCTATTTCTTAGCTATTTATCTTTGTCAATGCACTTAATTCAGGCGATGATATTACCCACCGACTGAATACATTCCAGTCGTAATTTCAGTGTAAAATTCAGCTAATACCTGCAGTCAATTTGAAGATTTTTTTGTCGCCCGCCTATATATATACAGTGTAACACGGATATAAGAGAGTTGTCGGGACCGGAGAAGAAGTCTCTTATATCCGGGTTTCTCTTATATCCGGGTTTCTCTTATATCCGGGTTTGGTCTATTATATATACATTAACACAGCCTCTAATTTTGGACCAGAGAAAATCTCTCTTATATCCGGGTTACACTATATATATATATATATATATATATATATATATATGGTGTGATGGACAATTTTTCGTCTAAATTACGCAAAATTGAAAATAACAGTGACATCTCGTTATAACAGATATACAGTTCGGGGTGGGGTGCAATATGACACCATGTTTTTTATTTATTTATTTAACATAGATTTTATAAAAGAATTTTATAATCCATACAGTATTGTATACCTTGACATAATGCTGCAAAATGCAAAAGAAATTAAAAAAAATTGTTATATTAATGAAATTAATTGGAGGCGAAAAAAGTATTCGTACAACATAATAATACCTATTTAATACTTTGTAGCATATCAATTACTCAATTCAACAGAAACCAGTCTCTTTCTGTAGCTTTTAGTCAATGATTTGCAAGTTTCCATTGTATTTTACTCCATTCTTCTTTGCATATTCTCTTTAGGTCCAGGATGTTTCTTGAGCTCTTTTATTAACTTGAATTTTTAATAAACGCCACAAATTCTCTATTGGATTCAAGTCTGGAGACTGTGATGGCCATTCAAGTGTACATTGTTTTCAATAAGCCATTTTTTGTAGATTTAGCCGTATGTTTAGGGTCATTATCTTGTTGCAAAACCCATTCATTTGGGAGTCCAAGCTTTACTACTGACCCAAACAAATTATCCCACAAAATCTTTGTATATTTCTGAATTCATTCTACCATCTATTATCTCTAAATTAACTGTACCATTAGCAGAAAAAACATCCCCAAACCATGATATTGCCACCACCAAATTTCACCGTTAAGATTGTATTCTTTGGTGCAAAGGCTGTGCTGTTTTTTCTCCAAACAGAAATCCTTGAATTATGCCCAAATAGTTCAATTTTTGCTTCATATGTCCACAGAAAACTACCAAAATGATTCAGGTTTATTCTTATGCTCACAAACAAATTTTAACCATCTTTTAAAATTTAACAAATTTTAACCATCCTTATGTTTCCTCAGTAGTAGCATAGTTTTTCTTGGAGAACGTCGTCTTAGTTGATTTCTACAAAGTCTATTGCTTATTGTTGCTTCGTAACAATAACACCTGATGCTTTTAATTCATCCTGTATTTTTCTCCAAGTAGGCATTGGATTTTCTTGAATTTTGCACTGAATTCTTTTCATTGATCTGGGAGAAATCTTGCATGGTGCACCAGATCTCGATTTGTTCTCATCAGTTTTCACCTTTTTATACTTAGCAATAACAGAACTAATAGTAGTAAATGGTGTATTCAGGATACGTGTTATTTTTCCTATAGCTTTTGCCTTCCTTCCAATGTTTGATGATCAATTCTTTTTGCAAAATTGATAGTTCATTGCCTTTCCTCATCATGATAATTGTGTATGATTTGTGTGCAGAGATAACCTTATGTAAGAAATGAATTGCAGAATGTTCTAGATTGTTCTGGTAATAAGATAATCGGATTTTTATTTCTCCCAATTCTATTTACAAAAAGTACACAAAAATATCTTTAAATACTAAAGAGTAAATTTATTCAATAAAATCGCCACTGACTCCAATCATGGCCCCCAGACAATTTTGGAATCTCCTGCAACTCTTCTGGACGGTTTCCGTGTTGGTGAATGTTGTCATAATCTTTGCCTTCAGTTCATCTTTAGTGTTAAAAGGAGTTTTGATGGTCTCTCGCTCAACTGCGCCCCACACATAAGAATCAATGAGGTTTCAGTTTGCGGAGTTAGGTGGCCAGATGTAAGGGGTGATATGGTTGCAGAAATTGTATGAAAACTAAGACTGGGTTCTCCTGCTTGTGTGGCATGGTGCAGAGTCCTGTTGCCAGTCATCGGGTACGCCAGCAGCAACCCTCTTGACTCAGGGCATCACTACCTCCTCAAGGCACTTTACGTAGTTTCCACGTCGAGTCCGAGACCCCGTGGGAAGATGAACGGTAGCATAACTTTGCCATCACCAGCGATCACTCCAAACACCTTCGTAATCATCATTCGACTCATCCATCTCTTTCCGAATCCTCTGACCTATCCTCGGACACCGAAACACTCTGAAATGTTCGCACTGGAGCTTCCGGTGCGAATGCCAAGCAGTACATCATGCCGTTTCCAAATTTCTGGCGGAATGAATTGCGTCATGGTGCTCTTGTTCCTTACAGACGGTGCCCAACTGATCCTACTATATTGTGCAGTCGACAAAATCAAAAACAAACAATGCATATGCATGAAATTAAAACAATAAAATGACGACAATTTACCCATCGCAACCTATATATATATATATATATATATATATATATATATATATATATATATATATATATATATAATGTGTGAATTTAATAGGCCGGTTCATGAAATTTGAGGAATAAAAAACAATACAATGATAACAATATTGTCAATAATATTCATGGAATTTATCGTATATTAGGTCAGCCTTTTGACTAAACCGGAGCACGGTGAGAAAACTTTGTAAAATTTTGACTTTTAAAGTAATTTTAAAATCGGAATTTTTATTAAATCCACATGTAAGAAGCACACATAGACCAACTTTCGTTTTAATTATATATATATAAGACAATTTCCAAATCCCCATATATGTACATATTTGTGTGTCAACATTTATGTATATTCGAAATTATATGTGTGTTTGTGTTTGCTTGACAGCATTTTAAGTTTTGGAATATATGTTGTAAAATAATCATCTATCTATCTATCTATCTATATATATATGTTCGTTATTTATCTCTGTCTGTTCATTATCTTTCTCAGTCTGGTCATTATCTATCTATCTATCTATCTATCTATCTATCTATGTTTACATTTCACAATCTGTTCTTATCTGTTTATCCTGATAGGTTTATATGCATTTGTTTCTCTATATAAACACACACACACACACACACACACACACTCTCGCGCGCTCATGAGTAAAGTTATATGCATTTCAGTTGAAATTGTTTCTTTCTTAAGTCTGAAGCTTATGGTGTGCCTCCTTGGGGTTGGGTATGGTAGTCATGTTTTGTAGATGACTCTAGCTGGCGGGTAGCCTGGGTAGACAAGGGGCAGTTTTGGGTGGCCATCTGCAGACACAAAACCATTGTCTGTCCTTGTGTACAAACGGTGAACAATATTTCCGGCGGTGAAACAATAGCATTCGTGTGTTTCACAAAAGGCCGACAGGTCTTGCCGGGCTTAGGGTTCCAGTTGACAGGTACACCGTCTTGTTAAACGCATTATCTTTTGTTTTTATTTGTTAGAAGAGCAGTTGCAAATGGACGCTGTCGTAAGACCCCCTCCCCCCGCCAAAAAAACAACAAAACAAAAAAAACATTGGATAAAGACGCAGATGAAAGCGATAGAAGAAGATGCAATTTGCAAGTTCTATAAGAAGCGGGCTGCATGTTCAGGGGGTTGAAGGTGGGGCCGAGAATTTTTGGGGGATCTGAGAAAATGTTTTCATACGTCGAAGACTAGCATTCATATTTTGTATAAGTCGTAATGGATAAAAACAGGATGATTAATGAAAAAGTGAAAGGGACGTCGAAATAAACTATTTTCCTATCAGCGGTTCTGATCAGTTCAGCACTAAGAGATTGAGCTACGAGATTTTGGGTAGGTTTCAAGACCGTTTACTGTTTGTTTTTTTTTTATGACCAAGGATTGTGAGGAAAGCAGTCAGTTATTGTTATATAACGTACCTATGAACACTAATGGGTATTTCCCAGTCCTCATAAATACGTAGTCGACCACTAGCAGTGGATTACCTACTTCACGCCGTATAAGTTCAAAAGCAGCATACAGACAAACCTCTCATCTGCGTACTAATACGTTTGACACTATTGTATGTGGGGGTAATATGATGTCTAAGTAGTCCACCACTAGCAGTGGTTTACCTACTTCACGCCGCTGGCGAGTATTATATTTTGTTGATTTTATAAAGATTACCATTTCATTTCCAACCTCCGTTTTGGTTATTCATCATTCAATAACCCTTTCTAGGTTAGAACAGTTATATAATATTAACGAAATAAATAACCCGCCAGTGGCAATGTTGCTTTGATTGTCTTCAAATTACTGCCATTGGGGTATCATACATTTATCCAGGCGTTCTTTCCATATTTTAAAACAGCTTAGAAAATCCTCTACGGGTATTGCTATCAGCTGTCTCATGGTGCCCTCTTTAATCTTGTTGACAGTATTTCAATGGGGATTTTAGTTTCGGCAAAAGCCAGAAGTCGCAGGATTTCCTAATTTTGATTGCATATGAGAAACTGGCAGATCTGGATGATGCGATGTTTGCACCCTCCACACCACCAAAAAAAAAAAAAAAATCTACACGTGAAAATGAAAACTGATCAGAGGCATTGTCATGATGAATGCGACCATTACACAGTGTACGAGTTCAAGCAGTGACCTCAATATGATGAGTAACCTCATAATGTGAGTCATATAGGAATAACGTGTCGCTACAGATACTTGGGGTTTGAACACGGATTGCCAGAGAGCAAGCACAGTCGACCTCATCTTGAAATAAGATCACGTGATGGGTAAAGGAATATATATATATATATATATATATATATATATATATATATATATATATAGGAAATAGCGGTGTCTGACTGGGTATTGTTAGAAGTCGTTACTATTAGTGTAGCTGTGATTTACAAAGACTCTCTTAGAAACGGTCACGACAAAAGTGAGCAACGATGAAGTTCTAGAGACGATGGTAACAAAAACAAAAATGACACTTCTACTTAACACCAGGAAGAGACAGTTGAAATTTCTGGGGTACATAATAAGGAAAGAGAGCTTGGAAAATTTGATACTCACAGGACAAATTGAAGGTAAGAGAAACAAAGGAAAGCAACGCATGATCTCCCTGACGAGCTTAATTGAATGGATGGCGGAGCAGGGTTTGGGAGAGTTGGCGAAAAGAAAAAAAGAGTATTGAGAGCTACAAAGGACAGGAAATTTTGGAGAACTATGATAGGCAACATCCCGAAGGCACATGCCACAAGGAAGAAGAAGAAAAAATGTTTCTTCCGATAGGTTACCTCGTTATGTAAAATTCTCATCTCCCAGCTCTTTTGATATTCAAATTGACTGGATGTGCATAAATTGTTCGATTTCCGAACGTATTTGTCTTTAGTCTCGTAAGATCATGACATATCTATTTTTTAATCGATTTCGTCCCAAGCAAGGCAGTAAAGCCACTGAGACGCAAGGGTGTGGAAGAGTTAGAAACAGAAACATTCTTAATGAGAAAGAACAAAAGAGTAATCAGGAGGACAGTAAATAGCGATTGACATTACATTTAAACTTTTGAAGATTAAAGTTAACTGGAAAGCATGGAGCTGGAAGGGAGTTTCACAAGCGAGAAGTGCGAGAAAAGAAACTCTTAGTATAGAACTTACGGTTACATCTAGCCAACTGCAAATTGATAAGACATCGTCACCGGTCTAGTACTGCGCTTAAATCCTAAGAGTCTAGGTACCATAGCGAAGAGCCCACCCGAACAATTACCATGAAAGTATTTATAGAAAAGGCACAAGATGGCAGCCTTGCAGCAGTGGAAAAGTGACTGAAGCCGAGACGCCAGAACAGGATCAGTAATATTGTTGTTTCTTGTTTTGATTTTATCAAGGAACTCTAGGTAAATAGCAGGAGCACCAGACCAAAACGTGGCAGCAATATTCTAAGCATGGATGAATGGTAGACTTGTAGATATGCAAGATAGATTCTGGAGAGAAAAATTGTGCAGTACGGTACAGTGAACCAACTTTCTTAACAGCTGACCATGTAATGGGTTCAATATTTTTCTATTTCATTTCAGCTGAGATCGTTAGCCCAAGAAGACACAACGAGTCACTCTCCTGGAGATCAGCATCGGCTATCCTGATGGAGGGCAGAGTTAAGTCTCTCAGATGAGCACAGTAAGGTTTTAGGGGCGTTAAAGTTAACAAGACATCCTTTGTTCCCGTTAACAACAGACCGAAGGTCGCTTTGGATATCAGTTGCTCTATATGGATAACATGCATAGCGCTGTCAGCTGTATATGTGTGTACACGCCTATATGTATGTATGTACGTGTATATGTTATTGTGTATGTGTGTATACGCATGTGTTTTTGAACATAGAAATATAGGTCCTTGCTAGATTAGATAATCGTTATATTTATTTTTATATGTTTATATTTGATTTGTAACCTGTAGTCGATATTAATTTTGTCAAATTTTCTTAATTACACAGCGGCACTTTTAATAAATGCCCTTCAGTTTTAGTTCCAACCCGCCCCATCTCTCTCCCCCACCCCTTTTTCTTTTCTTTTCTTTTCTTCTCCCTCCCTCTTCTTCTGATCTTTAAGATTAGATCGTCTATTGTGTATGTCACCACAAAATGTATCCTTTCCGGTTACATCTTTAATGTATTAGACATCCGACAACATTCATATTTCTCTCACTTAAACCTTCTTTGACTCACTTCTCTAAAACTTCTCTCTGTTAAGTTTTAATCCCCCATCTTCTCTCGTCTGTTACCCCTCTCTTTAGCTCTAACATTCATCCCACACTCTCATACTTACACTCTCTCTAAATTCTATTTTTTATTTCCGGAGTTGTTTTTCTTTGTTTTCTTTTTGAATTTGTAGGTCTGATGAATTGGATCGTATTTACGATTCCAATGGAATAAATTATGACCATGGAATATTAGTGTTTAAGCCTTTTTATTATATATATATATATATATATATATATATATATATATTAATCCTGTCATATTCACGTGTCGGTAAAAAATTGATGGAGAAAGAGGGTGTAATTGTTCTCATTCCTTTTATTTTCCAAAGTACATTCAATCTCATTCAAGATCATCTTACTTTTGCATTCCTAAATATACAAAATAGTATATATCAATATTTAACAAAAGCTTTTCCAGTGTAGTTTAGCTCCCTCTGTTTCAGATATGTTACCTTGGACTAATTTAAATCCCAGTTCTCCAAAAATGCTAAATGATTGGCAAGGTTTGAAATAGTCCAATGTAGTTAAACCAAAACAGAACAAAACCTGAAGTTTGTACTGTTTATCCACGATTTTGATCCTTGTGTACAAAATCATTTCATTTAAGAATATTTGATTGAATACTCGAGACATATTATGGTTATTTATTTTGATTTTGACCCGCTCATATTCGCATATCAGTGTTTTAGTGTTGATGGAGAAAATTATACATATATATATATATATATATATATATATATATATATATATATATATATATATATATAGGCATACTTCGATTAATGTGTTTTTGCTTAGTGCGCTAAAATTTTTCTATACCAAAAGTCCATTAGTGCATACATAATACACGATTAGTGTGATAAAACATTCTTCAGTTTAACCATAGTAATTGAAAATTTATTTTTTAATGTATACATTACCCACACTAATTCCTATATATATATATATATATATATATATATGTCCCGGAAAGGGATATGATTGTTCGAAGTAGCAAAGTGGTTTTGGACTACTGTAACCGTGTAGGACAATCTAGCAGGTAACCGTAATAGACTGGTCCTCGTCGTAGTGGTAGGCAATAGGTGACGACAATAGGCGTACTCAATAGTCGTCGTCCTGTACCTTCACATCAGTCTGTATTTATGACTGACACCAGCCAATCATATTACTGTGTGGGGAACTAGGTGTATGCATATTCATTACATATATATATATATATATATATATATATATATATATATATATATATATATATATATATATATATTTGAACGGGATAAGGAAAGAACATTCTG